GCCTAAAGCAATCCCTAAGTAAGCTGGAAAAGAAACGGAATCCAGAATATAGTCTTTATTGTTCTTGGATAGCGATTTAGAGTTTCAGCAAAGTTTTGTCCCTAGTTTATAGTGTTTTGGCTAACTTTGAAACTTCAGCAGCAAATATGAGCACTTTGGATCTTTTGTACTGAAATGTTTTCATATAAAAAATATAAGTGTAAGCCTTGTCATTTGTTTCTGTGACTTAGTTAAAACTGAACTGAAAAGTGAAGTATATCACAGCACACTGTTCCAAAATAATTTTATTTATGAACGTTTGAGGTTTTTAAATAAGCTTATAATGTGGTGAATTTTCATAGTTAAAAAGATTCCATGCCTTGATGCAGGCAAAACAACTGAACACATTATTAACAAGGAGTTATTTTAATCCAACTTTCTTAGGAGGAAACAGAACTTTATAATCTGAAATTCTTCGTGCTAGTTGAATCAAATGTGAATGGAGCCACTTCTTAATCATACTATGCTATTTTTCCTAATTATTTAAGAAAAGGATGTTTGTCTTTTTTAACTGTTCACAGAATTTGCATTCGCTGCAAGACTGAAAGATACTACTTTCTGTTCCATTATTCTGTATTTTCCTTTTTTTTTTTTTTTTAGAGTGATATTCCAAATAGATTTGAAATGAAAATTCATCGCACAACAATCCTTGAAGATTCTTATAGGAGGATTATAGCTGTAAAAAGAGCAGATTTCCTTAAAGCAAGACTTTGGATTGAATTTGATGGTGAAAAAGGTTTAGACTATGGAGGAGTGGCCAGGGAATGGTTCTTCCTTCTCTCTAAAGAAATGTTTAATCCTTATTACGGATTGTTTGAATATTCTGCTGCGTAAGTAATACAATTCTAGAAGACACAATACCAGTTAGGAAAGGCAGGTCAATTGTTATCTCTCATAAATACTTTAAAAATGTAGTTACTTTTCATTCATTTATTTATTTATTTCCCTAACCCAAATAGGGGATTTTGGTTGATAATTGAAGTATTCTGCACCTTTTTCTTGCTTTGGCTGATGAATGTTGTAGAAATAGTATGTGTATATTTTCTTCGGCAGTCTAACATCCATGTAGTCCTTCTTCAGAAGTGTACACTTGCAACTATTATATGTATTGCAACCATCTACTGCTTGCAGAAGAAAGAGGCAGTATGTAACAAATAATGCACAAGATATTATTCTGACTGCTTTTAAATTAATAGGAGTTAAGCCCTTCTCTTTAGTGTATCTCTAACTCACAAAGCTAGTTTGTGATGTTTCAGAACTATTCCTGCTACAATAATAGATGCGTACGTTGAATATCATTTACTATGAAATTAATGATTAGTCCAACTATATATTTTTTTTTAATTTCATGAAAAGTAATACCTGATTTACATCGTGATATCTTTCAGATCTTCAAATGTGAGATTGTTCATATAGTACAAAACTTTATTTTTCTTTTTTTCCTCCGTGAACCCTACCCCACCTTCAGAGATAACTATACTCTGCAGATCAATCCAAACTCTGGACTGTGCAATGAAGATCATCTTTCTTATTTCAAGTTTATAGGTCGTGTAGCTGGAATGGCTGTTTACCATGGCAAGCTTTTGGATGGTTAGTATTTATTTTGCATAATATGAAATTTTGATTAACATTGTATATATTTTGAATTTTAAGTTGCATACTATTCAATTTATTTGTTCTTCTTTAAAGCCTTTTTTATTCGTCCTTTTTACAAGATGATGCTCCAAAAACCAATAACACTTCATGATATGGAGTCTGTGGTATGTAATATGCTTTATTGCATATGTTAGGTTTTTGAGTTTGTGTTTAGTTGTTTTTATTTATTTTTTAATTGTATTGTGAAGATTGAAAGTGCAGAATTCAAGGAACTTTTAGGATAATTTTTTTGTAATAAGTCTAAGTAGTTTAGGTGTTTGAATTTCTATTGACAAACAGAGAGACCTAGACTAAGTCAGTTAAGCTGCATTGAAAACTTGAGGATAAACTTTGTATGATATTTTCTTAAAGCTGTTTTCAGACAGTAGGAGCTTTAGAATTAAATAGAAATACTTATAACGTTAGGTTCCCTATCTCCACCCTTTTACTAAATAAGTTTTGTGCTTCTTGATTGTTTAAAAAAAATTACTTATGTTTCAGAAGGCTGTAAATATTAATGATTAATATAAGCTATTAGATTTTTAGGGAAAACGTCCTTTATTATAATTTTTGTTTCCAGGGTAGTGTTTCTTGACCGGAGTAGTCACAGACAGAGTAACTTTTATTCAATCTTTCTCTAATTTATTACTGTTTTTTCTGTCCTGTAAGAATACATAATATAGTTGCTATACATTCCTGAGTAATAGGATCTTTTTGTTCAGTATTTTTCAGTACGGTATACCTCAATCTTCATGCCTTTAAGGCTCTTTGTAGTCATAGCTAATACTAGAGGGAAGATAAATATCGGATGAGGGACAGAAGTCCAAAATATAAGACTAGACAATGTTGTGACATTTTAACAGAATGTTGCTATGTGAGAGATTTTTGTTAGTCCTGAGAATGCTGGGTCTTTGGTTTCAGCCATCTTTAAAGGGCTTTTATAGTTCTGTACAATAGCAGACTCTGTGTATCCAATATAGGATTATTCTAGATACTTTATTTTGTCTGTACTATTTTGAGATTGTACATTGGAACCTTGTAAGATCTGTATGTCATGCTCTTAATGAACAAAGTACTCTCCCTAGTATCAAGAGATTCTTCTCTTCAGTTTGGTTTAATGCTGAGAATATTCTGTGCTAATGAACACTGGACATTTGTTTTCAGAAGAGATTAATGATTTCTCCTGTAGAAGAGATCTCTCCCTTTACATGTCTGCCCATAGATGCAAGATAGTATTTATATGAGCAGTAGGCTCTTCTAACTTGCACAGTTACTTATTTGGTAAAGGACACAAGAAGGATTTATATTTGTTCCGTTCTTAGTACCTGATACTTCGTTTAACTGTTTGTTTTTTAAGGAGTGTGAGTGATTGCATTTTAACAACTAACAGATTTCTGAGTTTCGAGGAGCAATGATTAAAATATGATCATTCTCAAACTGACTTCATGTACTCAGGTTAAAGCTGCCTTTTTCAGAATTACTAGCTTGTGTATCCAGTTTGAAGATTGAGGTAATTTCTTTGGATTTTGGTTGTTTTCCTTTGAAAAGCTCTATCGTGGTAGGAATGTCTACATCAAAGCGGTAGAACTGAAGTTGTGAGCTCAAACATGATTGATTGTTCTGGAGAAAATAAATATGTAGGTACTGATTAGGCCTTTTTATTGCATTGGTTTGTCTAATTTTCCTCTCGTATTTTGGCAATCCGTTCATACCAGTGCCACATTTGGCACCAGCAGCAATTAGGCTGGCACAGTTCTTTTTACAACTAAACTTGGCGCCAAAACACTGAAAGGGTTACCATTGTTGTCCTGGACAGCTGTGGTACTTTAAACGGGAGCTTCCTCTGTAGCAGAGGACCAGGCCATGGGGTTCTGTATCTATCTGTTAATGGATAAGGAACAGCACTGAAAAATCCAAAGGGAGTGTTACCATTTAGTTTTCAGTGTCCCGTGAGGAAAGTGATGAAAGAAATGGGAGAATCTCATATATAATTCATGTTTGGAAAATATTTGTACTACATAAAATTGAATTAAATATTTCTTATTTCACATTTTTTCTGTTTTAAACTTTTTGTTACTGCTTCATTGCTAGATGTTTTCCAGTATATCTTCTTTTTTAAAACCTTGAAAAATAATCATTTCTGCCTTCAATATTGAATGAAGTATGTGCTTGCAGGTTTTGACAGGTAAATATAAATAAAATTACTACTGCAGTTAACCTAGCAAACACCAGAAGCTTTCATTTAGTTGTATGAGGTGTAGAAATAGTTGGTGTTTTTTTTGTTTTTCCTCCTGTATCTATTTCAGATAAGTCTCCTGTGTTCATTCACTAAACTTGTAACTCACTTTTAGGATAGTGAATATTACAATTCTCTGAGATGGATTCTTGAAAATGATCCAGCAGAACTGGACCTCAGGTTTATAGTTGATGAAGAACTCTTTGGACAGGTTAGTATATTTATGTAAAGTAGAGTAGACAAAGCATGAAACAAAACACTTGTCCTGGGAAATTAACTGATTTTTTGTCTGTAGAGTACTAAGAAAAAGCAGAATACCCTCTTTCGGAGTCATATTGGTTTGTTCATTTAGCCTCTTACTTTAGCGGGCAAATGCCCGTTCGTTGTTTTATTAACGTAGCCATGATGTAAGACTTGGAGGTAAGCTGAACAGTTTTGAAGAACAGCTCATGTTTTTTTTCTTAAATAATACATTGAGATGTAGCTGTTGCTGTGAATAGAGCTAAGATATCCATCTTCCTACCGCATAATCTTGGGAAGAGGTTGGTCCTGTGTGATTGGCTTGGAAAAGATTTGCTCTTTTGGAAATGGTTGGAATCATAAATTCTCCTGATAGGTAAGAATGGGTTTTTTTCTTTAAACTGTTCAAGAAAACTATGGAATAAACAAGTGTAGTGTTGTATAGAAGATTGTCCAAGGTAGGTCATGTAGAAATACCATAGATCTTGAACAAAAAGTCTACCTTGCAGACGCCAACTAGATCCAAGTAGGATAATAGCTCTTGTGGTCTTGTGTAACTAAAATGATCCCAAGCAGGAGGATGAAAATGTGGATGCATAATAGACTGAAAAAGAAGTGTTTGTCTACTGAGGTTCTGGCAGTATTAATCATTATGTGACAGACACGCATATCAATTCACTTGTTCACTGAGATCTCTCTTGAAATTTTTTGTAAGTGTTTTTCCACAGTATTTGGGAAAGAGGCTGGGTTATTGGAAGTGCAGAGAGTGAAGTCAGCGTTCCTGAAAACTTACATGCAAACTGAAGTTACTTACTGTAGTTGCTCAGCAGTAACCAAGGCTGCCACATGGCAGTCTGGCATCCCTTAATTATACATAAAGGAAAAAAAAAAAAAACAAACTATATTCTTTATTCAGGTGACCTGTGAAAGTGGTTCTGTTTCTCAAACTTTTCAGATTCTGCACTCTTCAAGAGATTACTAAATTACTTAATATTCACACTTCAGTTATATACATATGCATATCTTTTATATATAAAGACCTATTCTGTATATCACATTTAGACCCATCAGCACGAACTGAAAAGTGGTGGATCAGAAATAGTTGTCACCAACAAGAACAAGAGAGACTACATTCAGTAAGTAGTGTTTCTGTATGCAACGTACCTAACTGGATAGTCCCCCTAACAATAGGGGCTATCTGTTGTTTGCTGTATTAATAAAAGGAAAGCTGTTGCTTTGTATAAAAATTGTTTGTATCTTAAATGTCCAATTTTTTTTTTTTAACAGTCTTGTGATTCAATGGAGATTTGTGAGCAGAGTACAGAAACAAATGGCAGCCTTTAAAGAGGTATATTTTTAAATACAAAATACATTCTTCTAAAAACTTGTTCCATGTAATCTTAAGTTTTTTTGGAACACAAGATTCTAAAGACACACAGATTGTATTGTTACAGGTATTAAAAAAAGGCAGTGACAAGGTTCGCAGTGACAACTTTGAATTATCTCAGATTTTAAAAATAACTATTTCTTGATCTATTTTCACTGAGATGTTTGATTCATATTGGAAAGTTCACTTATTTCTTAATTTTGGCAGACAGCTTTAGCTGTAATGCCAATTACTTTATCAGTTTTGCAGAAATTAAAATGAAATCAATCTAACAGTTTTAAGTGAAATTAGCTGTTTATCTATGTTTATATAAATTATGCACAACTTTCAGTGGAGTACAATAAAGAAATAAGCAAGATCAAGTCAGAATTAGAAATACATAGCCAAACAAGTGCGTACTGGTGCCCAAACATCTATATTTCATGTATTGCTATGTCTTTTGTTTCTTAAAACATATAAATGTAATTCTCAGTAAATAAAAATGCTTAAATAATGTCTACTTGATTTTTTTTTTTTAAACTTCCCTTATCTTTTTAGGGCTTTTTCGAGCTAATACCACAGGATCTGATTAAAATTTTTGATGAAAATGAACTAGAGGTAAGTGTATAATGGACAAGAAAACAAATTATGTTAAAACTGAATGTTACCAAATTAAACTTTGGGGGTTTTGTGTTTTTTTGTTTTTTTTTTAATGTAGTTATTAATGTGTGGACTGGGAGACGTGGATGTGGCTGACTGGAAACTACATACAAAATATAAAAATGGCTACAACGTAAACCACCAAGTAATACAGTGGTTCTGGAAGGTATCACAAAGTTCTCATCTATTACTTAAGAAAATGTATTCAAAAGCTGCTGCTTTTCAGCTGTGCTAGTTTATCATGCGATTCACTGATAGTTAGGTAAATATTTGGCTATTAAAACTCCTGAGAAAGAAGAAAACTGAACATGAGATGTATGGTATGAATGAAATACACAACTCTGAAAAAACTGTATGTCTGACTGGGGTGTTAAAAATACTTTTATGTAGCTCTCCTGGCACGGTTGCGCTAAAGAGGTGTTAAACTCTTCTGTTTAATAAATTACAAGAATTTGGCTGCTGGTTCATAACATCAGGAAACTTCAAAGAAAATAGGGGCCAAATCTTCAAGGGAAGTATTTTAACAGCCTGCTAAGCCAGTAACCATATTCTTGTTACAGTGCCATAAAAAAAAATACTGACTTCATAGCTTTTAGCATTAGGCAGAGAAGTAGGCTACGTGTGTCATAAAAATATAAGAGATAATGATTTAGAAATGGAAACAGTGTTGCTTGAATCTGCTAACTTAAAACCTTCATTTAAAATCTTTCAACTAAGTCTTTAATCATAATTCTCATATACAGGCAGTCTTAATGATGGACTCTGAAAAGAGAATAAGATTACTTCAGTTTGTTACTGGCACATCACGTGTACCTATGAATGGGTTTGCTGAGCTGTATGGTGAGTACTTATGATTGTGTTTACAATATAGGGATTAACTAACAGAATCTGATGTTGAAATTGTCGTGATATTTGTCTTTAAACATAGGCACGTTTTTTCTCAGTTTCTATTTTAAGTTAGTATATGCTGGCAGTTATAATTGTTATAATTAGTACATGCTGGCAGTTATAGAAGCAGAGTTAGAGAGGGCTCTCTTGGCCCACACGTGTATTTCCCGTGTTGTGTAGCTAGTTCATTTTAATTCTATTTTTGGAAGTTTTTGAACGTATAGGACTTCTCTAATGAATCTAGGATTTAAAGTTCTAAAGAATTTTGCAGCGATCCCTGTGTAATGTCTGACTGAGCTTGAAGAAAATTCTCAGTTATTTAAGATGCAATTAGTAAGATGTGCTGGCATCAGCCATTAACGTAAGATTCCTGTGAATTCCCTAACTGCTCTTCTCTGCTCACAAGCCACAGTTGTGTGGCTATGATTGTTTGTAGGGCTACAGTCTAAACTGGATCACTGAAATCACCCAAGTTAAAAAATAATGCTGAAAGAAAAGTAGTGAACCTGCAATGCAGAGGTTGAAACAAGTAGAGGGCAGTGGGAACAGATTTTAACACCAAAACCAGCAAGCCCACTGTGGGAAAACTGGGGACAAGTGGACAGAGCAGTCCACAAAGCTTGGAGGTGGTTTGTTTAAGGGAAATCTGTTTTCAACTGCCATCAGCTATTATGGTTTTTGCAGGACTACTTTGTATTTATTAAGGCTGAAGGTGCTAAAGCTCCTATGCAAATGACTGAACAGCCTAACTTGCATATTTGAGTGAACATTTTCTTCTTTATAAACAAGATAGTAATTTGTTTATAGAACACTGGAATTCTAAAGAAATAACTACCTCCTGCGTGCGCATTTCTTCCTCTCTCCGTTTTCATCGTAAATACTCCGACTTTTATTTTTCCATTCCATCAGTCAATGACTTAGAAGTTCCAAAGAGAAAGCCAGTGCCCTCAGGGGACTTGAGCCCTGCGTCTGTTGATGCACCTAAGCCGTGCTGCTACTGAAACTGCAGCTTATACTCATTGCAGTGCAACTTGGTCAGGATTGTACAGCCTGTGGATTTTTGTCTGTTTGACTAAAAACACTGCCAGAGAGACAGTTCAGGAATGATGTAGGGAAAAACTGCTGAAGCTCCTTTCTCCCTTTTGCCTAAGGATTAGGGAGTGCTCTGGCCTAGTCCCAGTTTCCCCCACTCTGTAATAAAAATTTTGATTTGCAGTTGTCTTGCGTGGTGCTTTGTTTTTTCTCTTACGTTTATTTCTGCTTTACTGTGGCCAACGTACCACCCTCAGTAAATCCCATAACGATCACAATCACGTTTCTAGTCCGTGCTGGTGTTTGAAGAACTACTGTAGGTGGGTCTTCAGTGCTCGGGGGTGGTGCGTGGCTTTTCCTGCGGCAGGGCTGCTGCTGCGGCCCCTTTCCTCCCCACGTCCGGGCTCCCTTTCTTGGAGCTCGCTTTGTAGCGGGAGATCTCCCTCTTGTGGCCAAGTAAGGGATTTCCAGTCATAAAAAGGGAGTGCTTGGTGTCCGGAGAAGCCATTTAAATTTGAGAACTGGGATGCTGAACAGATGGGACTTGCTTTTTTTTGTTTTATGTTTTGTTTTGTTTGTTTGTTTGTTTTCTTCTTCACCCCAAGTCAGCCTCTGGTTGATTAGTTGGATGTCTCAGCAGCAGACTTATTCCTGCCTAGCTATTAAAAGGCAGTTTTATCTTCTTGCCACGTTGTAGTAGAATGCAGTATTGGGCGCAGAGTTGCTCCTCTGCTTTATCTTTCTTCCAAACAGTCTTTCTAGTTGTCTTTTCTAATCAGTCTTCTGTGTTGAAGAAACATCTTAGCCAAAGAAGAAGGTAAAGAAGAGAAGGTGGAAGTGTTCCCACAACTGCTGACATATCCTTCTCCCTGCTTATGTTATAGGATGAAGCGCTCAGTGTCTGCTCTCATCTCTGTCTAGTCCATTCACTAGATTTGTAAAGAGTGTAGCTTCTGCTCATAGGTATTCCCTGCCTTTTTGTGTATGTTAATAGCTGTGGGAGTGTTTTCTCCTCTTCTTTAATTTTCATCTTTGGGTATATTGCCTTTTTTTTTTTTAACATGTATGTTGGCTAACATCTTCTTCCAAATCTACTTGATTGTGTTTATTAATAATCATTTGTTTATATATTTTTGTGTATATAACTATATGTTATATAATTCCATTTTATTGTGAATACATATTTCGGTTTTCCTCATAGCTCCGTAAAACTGCAAATAGGTTCTTTACTGAAAGTACACTAAAATCTATAGTAGCAGTGCTTAATCATGCCTTTTTATGCATAATCTCTTTTTTATAAATAAAAAAATTATAAATAAGGGAAATAAGTTATCTGCAGGCTGACTTAGATTTGGCTCTATATATGCTTTTGTCTGTGGGCCCAAATAGCCCATACAATAGCTTGATTTTCTTGACTTGCCAGTTGTAGCTTGTGTTTCCAGAAAACATTCTGGAGAAGACATGAAAAAAGAGAAGGCAGCTCTCTGAATTATAAAACTGAATTCATTTCACAGGTCTTCCAGTAAAAAGAAATAAAAATTGCTTCTCAGTTTCTCACTATAATTCCACAGCCAGACTTAAGACATGGCAAGCTGTTGAGAAGCCTGCCACTGGCTGGTAAGTGCTGGTAGAAACAGGCCTGATTCTCAGGACAGACGCCTCAACAGTACCATCGAATTTGTCATCCCTTGACATGAGTAACAAGACCGGTATTAAGAGTTCCTGTACCTCTGCTGTACCTGTATTCATGGATTTCATTACTGCTGCCTGTCTTTAATCTGAAACATATTTCACATCTGGCACTTCAGAGGCAGAAGACTGCTTGTCCTGAGGAGCTTCCTAGTTGTACTGACGGGCTACTTGTAGAATAATCAGAGGAGAAGCATTAAGCTGAGAGGACACCCACCATCAGAGACAGTCTCCTCCTGCTCTTTGACAAGATAGTGAATTTACTACAGAGTCTTCTCCAGAAATATACAAATGCTTTAAATAAGATTAAGGAAATGGTTACAAAATGCCCTTTGGATCCACTTAGGGAGAGTTGAGAGGTTAAAAAAATTGTCAGATATTACATGCTGTAAGACAGCTGCCAAAGGCACAGGTGTAGGTGGAGCTGTACCTGCTAGCCAAAAAGTTGTTTCAGGTGTATGTGCATATCCCTGCAGCACATACATGGTCACTGCATTTCAAAAGGTCTCAATTACTCTATTCTGTTATTGTCTAGGTAAAGGTATACACTGAATAATTTGTCAAATTATATAACCTAGCATATTTAGTAATTAGTGTACATTTCTAGATTTATACATTCAAAACTTACACAGTTTAAAACTATCTTCTGCATACATTTGCTATGCCGCCTACTATACATCTGCATTTAAATCTTGAATTTCTGTGTTTTAGGCATGAAAGTCTCTTAAAACTAGGAGCAAGAAACAAAATACAAGTGAATTGGAATCATTGAGTACTACTGAACTTGCGCTATATTTGATTCTCGTAGGCAGCTCCTGCTAACCTTAAAAATGGATGATGAAGAGCAATGTATCTCATAACTTGCTAAGGATAAAGAATTTTCACCCCATTATGAGATGTTCTTTTAACATATTTTTCCCTGCAGGTTCAAATGGACCACAGTTGTTTACAGTTGAACAGTGGGGCACCCCTGAAAAACTGCCAAGAGCTCACACCTGGTGAGTATTTATGTAAATTATGTGCTTAAGTAAGAGTGATAAAATACTTAAGCGTTCTCTTCTGTCTTTCAGCTTTAATCGCTTGGATTTGCCTCCATATGAATCGTTTGAAGACTTATGGGACAAACTCCTTTTAGCGATTGAGAATGCTCAGGGTTTTGATGGGGTTGATTAGGCTACAGGCATAAACTGTATTGGTACAGTGCTGCATTCTCATTTTAAGGGTTTACAAACAGATTTGAAATTTCCAGGGACTACCGTTGTATTTAGTCACTTGGCTATTAAATCTTCATAGTATCACTTGTAAAATAAGTAAGTATTAAAAATTCACTAACTTTTGAAAATGTATTTTGCCATTTCCACAGTTTTGCGTACTTTGCTAATAACCACAATACACATATTGGGTAGGCCAGTGCCAAGTAAAGGTCAAAAACTAAAATATCTTTAAGCAGTTACCTCTTCTACATTATTTGCCAGATTGTCCTACAGTAAACTACTGAAGTAAAACTGTCAGAGGGGAAAAGAAAAAAACAAAAAAACTTTGCAGAGGGTGTAAATTTGAATTGCTGCTTTAAGAGGAACAACTGAAATGATTTAAAAATGTTTTTAAAAACATTAAAGACTTCATGTAATGCAGCATTGTAGTCTGTGCTGCTTCAGGCTGTTTGCTACAGATCTGCCCAAAGCACCTTACAATTCAGCATATTAGGTAAAACATTGGAAAGCGTTTGTTTGCATTATCAGCTATCAGTTTGCAGAACACTGGCTTGTTTATACATTTTTATTTCTTAGATTTCTGTTTCTGGCTTACTTTTGTGAAAACAATATAACAAAACCAGGACTTTTTTTATATAAGACACTCAAGCAGCAAAATTCTGAATTGTAATGAGAAATTATATCCTTTTTTGTCTGAATTTGTATACTTTCATTGGCTTATTGAGTGTTCATCACTTTTTTGATAAATTTGTAGTTTAACGATGGATAATATTTTCAATTCAGCCTTTTGCAACAATCTTAGCAAAATTTTTATGGATATCACAGAGTATTAATTACTGATAGTTTGAGGCCTTTATTATCCATTCTTGCAGTATTGCACTACGTAACAATAAATAACATGTTTACAGGGTTTTTTGGGCCAAATTCAGCAGTCTGTTGCGTGCAGACTTCTGTGAACTCTAGAAGTTATGCAGATGTAACCAGAGGCAGAATTTGGTCCTATAATATGTTTACAGGTTATGCTAGTTTCTATAGCTGCATTTTTTTATATTTTTATTTCTCCACTGTTAGTCTAGAAACCAAATTTGTTGATACAGTATAACCAAAGTCATAACCAACTATGTGCAATTTATTGTAGATCAGCTCTTCATATAAATATTAGTTTGATTTCTTTTGTAAATGTGGGTGTGTTTTGTGTCAGTGTTAGCACTTCTTGTTTGAGCAAGTGCTGGTTAAAATGATCATCAAATCCAGTTCTAAAAAAAAAAAAAAAAAAAAAGTTCGTTCATATATCTGACTTGCTTTAATTTGAACATTTTATTACCTATATGATCTGAGGAAATAACAGTACCTAGCTTTGGCCAGCAGATTTCTGTTTAGTCACAGTCTTTATAAATATGCAAGAAGGAAGTGTAGCACATCTCTATAAAGATATGTAAATTATGTAACAAACGTAATGGGTCTTAAAGGGATATTTAAAATCCCAGTTTGTTTTATTCTTTGACTAGATCTTTAGGGCTGAGAATATTACATGTAAATAAAGGTAACTTATACAAATTTTCTGAATCTATATGCAGTTTTGTAAAACATGGAATGATATATCAGTAAATCTGTATAGATTTGAATGTAGCAGTATTTGTTGCATACTTTAAAGTATAAAATAAGGATCCTGAGAGCCGTAAATAAAAGTTTATTCTAATAAAAAGCTGTGACTCACTTAATTGAAGTGCAAATCAGTAGTCTTGAAATAGCAGAACTCAGTCATTTTAGTGCTTTTAAGTACACTACAGGCAGAAGTTTGATAGATTTCTATCTTCACTATAATAACGCTTCTATTTTTATGTAGGTGCTGAGGTTTAGAAGCACTGTTTTCTAGTGTTCCACTCCCAAGGCATGCAGTCTTTGGAAAAATTAATGTGCTTATAAAAAGTTCTAGATAACTGTGAACGTTCATTGTATTGTCAGCCTGGAAAGGCTGACCTAGGAGTCAGGGTGAGACAGAGGCACCGCAGAAACCTCCACTCTCTGCTGAGCAGGGAGTGGGCACTGTTCCCACAGAGCTCGATTCCCAATGCCAGCCAGGGGAGGCACCCTGGCACACTGGGGGCCTCTGCCTGGACAGAGCTCCGGGGGAGGGATGCTGGGGTGCAGGTCTGGACTGTTGGGAGGGCCTGGTGCCTCTCCCAGGAGCTGGGGCAGCAGTGGCCTCCCCTGCGGGGGCTGTGCTATGAGCGTGGCGCTCAGCTGCCAGAGGAAGGAGTCACGGGAGAGGATGCGAGCAGGCTGGGTAGCACCAGGGAGGATGAACAGGAGGAGATCAACAGAGTTTTTGCAGAGACCTTGCAGAGGCAAGAGCCCAGACCACACAGTGCCAGTAAGGAGGGACAGCTAGAGGCCGTATGTGGTCAGGTGGTGGATGGACATTCCCAAGATGGGGGGTGGCTGGAAACTTATGACTTCTGGCAGCAGGAGAAAGGTGGCTTCTCCACCCTCAGATACAATATGGGGCAGCCTGGATAGTCTTCTCCTTGATCCTGCAGGTGCAGGGGAAAGGCTGAGGTTGGAGTTAACTTGCATGGTGCATCCACTACTGGCCACGTGGCTGGTGTCACAGGCTTTTATGTGGCTCTCTTTGAGAAGATAGGATTGCTGTTGTGAAACAGGACCCATTTGACAGAGTAGGAGCTTCTTTGCTGATAAGCTTACAACCTGAAGAGGAGGGCTTTCAACTAGGTTTGTTGAGGGGTGGTGATACTCATTGGCAGTTAAGTGAGGAAGCTGAGGTCAATGGTGCTAAGTACTGGGGCAGGGTGATGGGAGTGAGATAGCCCTTGTGAAGGATGCCACAGGCTGGAGGGGGCCTCAAATGGCAGAGCTAGGGAAAAAACACAGAGCGCTGGAGAGAAAAACAGGAGTGAGAGTTCTGTCCGCAGACAGAAAGAGCGACCAAGGTGTGGTGGGAAAGCTGGTGTGGTTGGAGCTCTGTGACTGATCTCTCTGGGAGACACAGGCAGGGAAGAAAGAGAGTCACCTTGGATGTGAGGCAGCTGCTTGAATGCACCCGATCATGATGAGCAAGTGGACAAAGTTGTCTTTAAGCATCTCAAGAAAGTCTCCAGATTGCAGACTCCAACTCTTGTGGGCGACTCTAAACACTCTGACATCTGCCAGACAGGCAATACGAGGGGATGCAAGAGACCGACGAGGTTTCTGGAGGGTATCAGAAACAACCTCTTAACAGCTGCTGGATTGACCAGCGAGCGGTGATCTCCTGGGTCTGCGACTCACAGACAAAGAAGAATTGGTCAGGGAGTAATGGCACTTCCAGCCACAGTGACCGTGAAACAGTTAAGTTCAAGATTCCAAAATTTTATGGAATAAACCAGCAGATTATATTCTTTGTTCTTTTGTGCTTGTACTTTCTGTACGTCACACCTCCAGGTTCCTTCAAATGCATGTCCTCAGGTTTTGGGGTGCAACTCCAGAGATACCACAGTCACCAAATGTTTGACCAGAAACACTGTTAGTAGTATAGTTTTAAGTGCCAACTACAGACCATTTATAATGATTTGCAGATAAAATTACTGCTTCCTTAAGGGTTAGCTACCATCTCTTAGCTATGCTGTAACTTCATTACTCTCAATACCCATTTTTAACAAAGCAAAATGAAAGGTAAGACTCAAAAATTTCCCAGGTGGGTAAGAGCTAGGTAGACTGATCTATTGATGAAAGGGTCGCTATTTAGTAAGGGACTTTGTGCAAGTCTGATTAATGAGGCTCGCTCTGTGAAGAAACTATCTTCACAGAAAATAACCAAGAAAGATGTTAATTGTAGGTCCAGCAGCGGCTAGACCACAAAGCAAGAAAGGCTGACGGCAACAGGAATAACTTCACTTTCTCAGTTTTAAATACTGCACTGAAAACTAGCAGGTGCTCTTGGTATTTGTTTTCTGGGCTGCTCCAAGCCTGACAGCTATGAACAAAAGAGTTCACCGCAACTGATTATTTCTTCTGAAGATAAATACTTGATTCAACCTGACTTCGAAGGAACATGAAGCACGTAAGTAAAGATTCTGGCTTGTATTTAATCTGTTTTTTTTTTTCTTTTAGAGGGATAGCACGAGTGATGGTCTGTGCCTCCTGCAGCAATCGCGCTCTCAGCAGTTTGGCTGTGTAGCGCTGCTGCAGGCCTTGGGGCTCCTGCTCCTCGAGGTTTGATGGCTAGGTAGTGCTGCTCCAGGCCTTGGAGCTCCTGCTCCTCGAGGTTTGATGGCTGGGTCGCGCTGCTCCAGGCCTTGGAGCTCCTGCCGCCGCTGTTGAGCGGAAAACCGGTCTGTGCTGCCTGCCACCACCCACAAGGTGGCACCGCATACTGCCGCTAGGTTTCCATCAGGCATGCTGAGGTCGGTAGGGTATACAGTGTACAGTATTTCTAATAATGTCCATTCCATTGAAAGATTTTTAGCCTGGTTTTGACTCCTGTTGAGGTCAGCAGCAAAACAAAAACTAATTCTTATCACTATCTTAAACGGAACAGGAAACAGAAGTGAAGTAATTTGTATAGCAGCCTTCCTCCAACACGCGGTCAATGCTCCAAGCGCAATGTCAAGCCTCTTAGAAATTGTTCAGGGGCTTACCTTTTCTGGTGAAGTTAAACTATCTCTGTTTCATAATTAATCAGGATGACTGTGAAGTTTATTGTGCAATTATATGATGAGTAGTGTTTCTGTATTGGTTTTGTTTAACATTAAGCCTGAATAAATGTGTTGCTTTCAAAGAGCTGAATTTATTTAGCATTAATGAAGTAAAATATATAACATAATTGCAACAACTGAGCAAGGCTTGCAGCATGAACTGATTATAACTCAGAGGTCTACTTTGACTGTTTTGGGTGAGGTTTCCTTAGGTTTTCAGTCCATGTCATTGATTTGATTTGTATTGACTTAAAGTGTTTTGGCCTGAAATTGTCTTCCTCTCAAATCTCTCATTTACTCCAAAGATTATAATGCCCGTGCAAATGGTTACCAGTGTGGTGTTATAGAAATGAGATACGAATTAGGTATGAATAAGAATTGCCAGTTATCCAAGGGTTTGAGGTTTAGAGTTTTAGGGCTATTTTTTTCTTGAAAAGTCCTTTCTTCCCTTAACTGACAATTTTTAGACTGGATTTTAGCTGTCTCATATCTTTCATTTTGCAGGAAGTGGTGTAGTTAATTCCTCTTCAGCATTTTCACTGTATCGTGGAGGCAGAACTGCTGCAGGTTATTAGAAGGCTAAAACGATCATAATTTCTTCTAAGTGTAACTGAGGTTTCACTTTTCTTGTGCTACTGGAAAGAAATGACCTAAAAGAAAACTGTTTTTAGTTACTATTAATGTGTCACATCTGTAATATACTTAACGAATAATTTTTTACTAGAGATAGGCTTGAGCACTTCACATGTCAGACCTAGGCAAAATACATGAGCGTATGCTAATCTTTTTTCTACTTTATTCTCATATTCCTCTGTATCCTTGTTGTTTCTTACCTGAGCTTACTGTGCAAGCTTCCTAGTGCCTTGACATTTGATCTGTGCTGTCTCAATCCATAGCTCAGTTTTGGTGCTGTTTCACTAATTAATTGTGTCTCTACAAAAATGTGTCTCTCTCACTGATACCCACAGAAGCCTCCTGCTTACTTTCAGCATGAAATGTGACCTGTTTCAGTCCAAATTTGCTTTTTTTCTTTTTCTTTTTTCTTTTTTTCAGCGTAACTTAAACTTTAGTGTGAATTTATTTAGCAAACGTATATAAGTAAACGTTACATAAGTAAAATGAGAACATGCTAACATATGAAGAATATATGAAGTAGTTGATACTGGAGTAGTGTATTTTTAAATAGTTTTTTATTCATTTCTTGTGATCAAAAATAATGTAGCTTCTTAAAACAGAAGATTAGTCTCTTCTGTCTTGTCATTCTTCATGCTGTTCATTTATTTGTGTTTTCCCTTCTGCTTCTCATTAATCAGTTTGTTGTGGTGTTGGATTCTTCACACAGGGTTTTATGAAATGATTTTCTCTGCGGTTCTGCTTTCTTAGGGCAGTTTGTTTATTTTAATACCTCCCCTTTCTAAGGATCCCTTTCTTGAAAGGAATAAATGTGCAGTTCTTCTGATGTGAACTGAAAGGAGCTCACTCATTTCCTGCAGTCAGACCACCACCACCTCCAAAAATCCATTCCTTTGGTCCCAAACATGGACTGGATTGAAATGTCTGTATGTTTAAAAGGTGTTCAACGCCTACCCTCCTCCAGTGTCAGGAGTGGGAACAAAGCACTTAAAAGCTGCCCTATTGCTCTACCTTGCAGTGCAAGATACAAGTGCATGCTTGGTACTCTTATACTAAATTATTTTTCTTTGAAGTAGAGACTTAATTGCTTTTTTTATGTGGAACATGTATCATTAGCACTCTCATCAGAGTACAAACAGCTAGCAAAGGGGATAATTAGCCAGAATGTCCACCTAATGCTTGGTTTACATTCACGTGACTCTGTAGAAAAATGTTTTGTTTTGCTGAGCTGTCCGTAATTTGAAGTTTCTCGCTTAATGAGACTTCAAACAAATCATGCATGGTAGGTTTCAGGTTTTCATCCCAGAGAGAGGCTTAGGATTAAAAAAAGAAAAAAACAAACAAAAAAACAAACAAAAAAACCCAAAGCAGCTTGGAAACCTGAACAAACATTAAGTGAGCATGGCTCTTAAGGAAAGATGGAAAAGGCAGCCTTCCTAAATGTGACACACAACATGAAACTTTCTGTTCAAATCCATGGCAGCCTAAAAAATGTATCGTGATTGTTCCTTTTTATACCCTCTTGAGTGAAAATTTAATTTAATGGAAAATATTTTAATAATTGTCTGACAGCTTTTCTGGTATGTTCTACAGGTCAAAATATTTCTGCCCCAGATTTTGTTTTGAGGGCCGCAAAGTATGACCTTTGGGAGGCTGTGAGCACACGTGTTCGACTATGCACTGCTGCTTGGGAGTATGCAAAATGCTGAAGGTTTAAATCAAATTGCCCCAAGGACTGATTACTGACCTTTTGAATGCAAAGCTGTCAAAACCTTCAACTAGGCATCGGCTAGAGAAGAACGCTTAAGGCAGATCAATGCAAACAGAAAACAATGTGGTTCTGACTTTTGGTAATTCTTAGTAAGAAATGCAGAGGCAGCAACTACCGTGCTGCGAGAGCTCCAGCAAACGAACCATGCTGGCTAGGAGCTGCTGCGAGGGACACCCAATACTTTGGTTTTCAGGTTTTTAAAAGTTTTTATAATCCTGCTTGGGAAATTACAAGTTTCCATTAATTGCCAGATCCTGATATAGTTATCTGAACAGGACGCTTCATTGACTTCAAAGGGATTTTTTGTCTACTGAAGGAATGCAGGGTCAGGCCCTGACTGGTGATAACTTTCTTCAGTGGGTTGTCAGATATGACAAACTAGGCCATTTTAGTGGCGACTGCCCTCGTCACGCCGTGCCATCCCTTCGTCCAGAAACCAGGCGGCTGCTCTCTTCCTTTGCTCAGCTAGATGCCTGGCCGGGTGCTTGCTGTAGAGAAGAGCTTGGAAATGACGCCTCACTGGAAGCCACAGCGTTTCTGTGAATGCAACATATTTTCTTTACTTAGAATAGCTACAGCGCGTTATTTTCTGATTACAATGCATCACATAGTAAATTCAGATGGGCAAGAGTTTGAAGGAGTTGCGAGTCCCCCTGTCCTATGAACTGCGGTCCAGCCATTAGTGGTCCATCCTTAATAGTTTTACTCCTCGTTACTCGTGCACTATTGCTTGCTCTAACATAGAGTTTTAAATCCTTCCTGTCTAGTTAGGCTTACAGAAACAGACCAGAAAAAAGGGGCTCAGGAAACTGTTCATTCGTGTGCTGAGTCCCAGTCCAACGATTATGGGCATCCTGTGTGAACATATGAAGCAATCGTATATATCCTGTGCTGAGGACTGGCAGATTAGTTACTTCATAGGTCAGTAAAAACAATTGTCCCTGCTTTGTCAGAAGGTTGTAACTGCTGTCCTGTTAGTGTAGTTAAGAGTTAGCTAAGAGAAGATTGGAGGTGCAGCTTTGTCCAGGGCAAAAATCGTATCATTGAGCTCTATTAACATGTGGCTAAAAATTATCTCATTTATCAAAATGATCCGTTTCCACTGTTGTCCCTAGTTGAGAATTCTAAGTCTGCCAGGAGCGTAAACCACTCTGAAAGCTGATTGACACTTATATAAACATTTACAGTTTTTTGAAGAGAGAAAAGAGATGAAGTCGAATTTTTTCATGTGTAAGTAAATCTGAATTAGGAAAACAAACATATCAGTCATGTAAATGTATTTTTGTATTGGAAAAATTCTAATTGATTACTAATTGATTAATTGATCACTAAGGTGCAAACAGGCTGGCTCACTTGCTCCCTTGCTGTAAAGCCCCGTTTGTCCTAGGGATGCTGTATCTGACGTGAAACTCGAGCAGCGAGATGGCAGGATGCAGCCCGGAGGAGCAGGACGGGGCGAGGGAGCGGTGCCACCTCGCACAGCACCTGGTTACTTTTAAGAGATTAACGTCTTGGTGTGCATATGATGGGTGTTTCTTATGTGTTGTTTGCCCGACGCAAGCTCTTCCAAGTGCCAGCAGTTGGCCGCCGTGGCCTCGCAGAAGCGTCTGAACGTAAATAAAAGCAAGACGCGACTTAGCTTTTCCCAAGCGCTATCCTGGGGCCGCGGGCAGACCCCTGAAAGCAGGTTGCACCATCGCCACCTCCCTGCAGCTGCTCCTCCCGGCCCAGCGCCGCACAGCAGACGGATCGGGGCCTCGTGTCCCCACAGTGGCG